TACAAAAGCCACGTACCAAATATGAACAAACACAGAACCAACTGTTAGAAATGCAGTCAACAGAGTCTGCTGTGTTCTAAATGCCAAGCCAACTGTATACCTATACAAACATTAAATTCCAGTTTAAACAAGATGTAAAACACAAACTGGCAAATTGTAGTTTTGCAATCATTTGTTGCAATATTCAGTATTGTGGTTACTGTTATATCTCACTGTAACATGTACTTTATACATTGTAACGTGGTTTCTGCGTGGCTTATACCCTCTGTAACTGTGATAGACAGAGTATAGGGTGTGGTTACCAAATTTAATTTCTGCATGGAAATTTTGCGATATGCACTCAGCAGCATTACCTAAAGGAAGATACAGAGAAAACATTTTATTCAAAACTTTATTCATTTTATTTTCTTGTCACTTTAGCTAGGGATCCAGCCTGGACATGTTTGCAGTGGTATACTTTCATAGACATTATAGAAGTGTGGCACCTTCTGACATCTGCCTCCATAATATTATGGCAACTGCTAAGCATTAGCAGAGGGTCTGTCTCTTTAACTGAGTCCTTAAACGAAGAATCCTTAAGAATCGCATTAACTCTGTGAATGGCTACACCTCAGATTGGACCATAAATCATTTAATAAGATTAGGGGAATGCAGAGGAAGGAAGGAAACACAATGCTCATTAAATCTGAAGCTATTCAGTAGCAGGAGTCAATAGGACTGAACCCTACACCGACTGTACAGTAGCAAAGGTACTGTATGCCTAAGAATATGCCGACTGCTTTTACTGCAATGGGTGACTTATGATAACAGCAAGATCAGATTTTTGTATCACAAACTGGGTAGTTTGTAAGATCGCTTCTATCATCTTAACGTATGGGAGTTTTTAGTGATATTTTAGTGATATGATTAATATGTCTAACTTAACCTAATTTTGTAGGTAACTAGTCTTTTATCCTACAAACAAGCGGGCCTTAATTATTAATATGTATCTTTTGAAAATAAAAAAAATCAGAATGTGAGGATAGTGAGTCGTCTAATGGTTCTATTGAGATTATAAGAATCTTTGTTCCAGAAAAACTGTAAAAAAAACTACTGTAACTACTGTAAATGAAATTTAAGAGTGAGGAGAATATTGTATTTAGTTCTGATGAAAGTTGAATTTTTGTACTAAAATATCATGAATGGTGCTATGAAATTTCACAATAAAATTCTGGGAATAACAGATACATTGCACATGGACTATTCATTGTCTAAATACCTTATTCTTTAGACTATTTCACATATTTCGCATAATATGTATGAAACACAAATATCTTTGAAACTGTAAACAGGGTTAGAAAATCGGTTATTACAGTATATAACCTATAAAACCAATAGTTGACTCGATACAACAGTAACCCAACAGTCATTGAACTAAAGACATTGATAATAAATATCTAAGATACAGTATTTGTCATACATTTTCAGAAAGAGAAACATATCATTGCAAAAGTATGCTAATTATAACTGAAAGCAATATCAAAATTTGGACTGGTTCACTTTCTGTAAAATGCATTTTCATTTTACAGTAACCTAAACAGAAAGCGATGACTGCAGGGACAATATCACCATCTAGTATTGTTGAAGTACTGTATGCTGTACTATTATAATATTTATTATAATAAATATTATTGATAAAATTACTATATGGGTTCTCAGTTGTTTCAATGTTTTATGTTTGGATTAAAGTGTACCTTTAAAGTATATTTAAATTGCGAGAAACAGCTGTTAAAAACAGAAAATTGTTCATATTACTTCATTGTTCATATTCTTCTGAGCAGAACCAATTTATGTCTGCCCAAAACAAAAGCTATGAAACACCAAGCAAATGTCGTATTTTAAAAAGAAGCAGCTCCAAAATTTTCTTCAGGTGTTTAATACCATTGTATCATTATTGAAAAGATTAATTTTAACAAGTTATTGGTTAGACATTGGAGTATTCATAATGCTTTAGAAAGAAAATGATTTTTTGTATATTATTCATACTGTAGATTCTCACTTTATCCTATCAGAAAAATTAACAATAATAATGGAACACATCTGTAAATTCATGATAGTATTACTGGTTACATTTCTAAAGCTATGTTTAATTTTATCACAGGCTATATTTAATACTATATACTGTATAATTTCTTTATATATAAGATAAAGTGCTTTTTCTCCCTAAAGGATGGAAATAACACCAGTAGTTTATAAATACTGTGTCCTTACAAGCAGAACGTAAGGATTAATGTCCTAATTCCAAAGATGGGAGTGTGTGTTGAAGGTATAAAAGTACCACATTGATGTGTCAAACTGCTTAAACCCACCCACCAGTTGTTCCACGCTGTCCTCTCAATCTCTACAATATCTCAGGAGTCTAGTAGTACCATCTGCTTCTAAACAAAAATAAGGAGATGTTCTCAGACTGTATGCTTGATTTCTGCTCTTAATTGGTTGGCTAGTCTACAAACACCAGTCTCGAGTTGTAGCAAACACTTCTTACTTTGACTCTACAGTACATGCTGTGTTTTGTGTTGTGGCTCAGTTTCAGCTCTCAGTTACGACTGCAGTTATCAGTTGGGTGATAATGCGGTCAAGTACTGCGCACTACTGTACTGTATGTCCAGCTCCACCT